GTGAATTTTTATCCTAGAAAAAGAATAGCATCAAGAGGTTCAGTTATCCACGCTTCTACTGGCAATGTTATTGCAAGCAGAAAGGCAGTTTTATTTAGCAATTGAAGTCGGGGACGTGCTGTCAGGGGTTTAATAGCTTTCCCATTTAAAAAAAGATAGAAGACTTACTGTGGAATTGAATCCTCGACAAGAAGAAAAAGTTTTAATTAAACCTTTCAAAACATGGAAGAAAGAAAAAGCCTTTACTCCGAGGATGCAGAGCAGCAGCTAAAGGAACCTGGATGGAGCTGACGGACACCAGAGCCCCTTGGCACCGTCAAGTAGTCCAGACTTGCTGACAACACATTCACCTTCTGTAGCACCATCTGCCACAGGCTTCAGTCACTTTGCCAAATCACTCTTCCCAGTATACAAGCTTTCTGCTGCTAACGAGGACGCAGCTAGCAGAAGAACAGGAACCCTGGTCAAACTCTGACAGCATCCCAATTACACTGAAGAAAGATCCAATCATGGGTTTTTGGACAGAGAAGCATGTAAGGTCTTGACAGCAAACCTGCCTGGCCAGGCAGGAGAAGGAAGCTGTTTAGAGCTCTGAACACGCTAACAGACCTCCATGTGCCAACTTTTGAAATCTGGGAGGAAGAGAGGGAGACAATCAATTTAAGCGACTTGCACCATTCTAGCTACTAGTGCAGATGAGTGCGACAGTATTATCCATAATTAATTGGATGAATTTTCTTGTAACATACAGTAAAAGCAAAGATGAGCATAACCACTCTGAGCTTCACTATATTAACGCATACTTTTCACTTAGCCCAAAGTCTGAGATTTCAAACTGAGGCGAAGGGACTCATCCTTAAGCACAGTGCTGCACGCAGAGATGCCATCCCTTTGCAAATGCTCTCTGGCACGTGTGGCTAACAGAAGGTGACAAAATATTGTCATGCGTATTGAACAACTGCTGGAAAGATAAGGTTGTTCAAGCCGCGTGTGCAAATCTGCTGTGCAAAGTCTGGTTTATGGAGCCGTGTAGTACAGCTGCCATACAACCCAGCAGCTCCAGGCAGGACCGGTCCGGGATGCAACAAGAGTTGCCAGGATATGACTAGTTCCCATGGGAGACAAAACCTGACAGTTCATTCTCTAGATCAGATAGGTTAGTGTCTTTATCAGGGAGAAGAAAAGTGCTTCATGACCTCCAAATCCTCAGCTAGCTGGAGCCCTAATTGGTAGAAAGTCTGCATCAGTCCTTTCCCTCAGACACGATCTTCAAACACAAAGCCATGGTTGAGAAATACAGAAATCTGTAGCATAGAGCATCTTCTGGGAACAATTCCAGCCAAATTAGTACAGCAGCAGCAACAGAGGCATCCAGGTAGGTTAGAAGAATAGAGCTGGTGCCTACAGCTGTGAAAGGCTGAATCTTTCCAAATGCCTGTTACAGGAGACGAAAGAGAGAGAAGATAAAGGAACTTAACAGATATCTGAAGAGAGTGATGTGTAACTGGAATCCAAAACTGTATCACAGCTGAAAACAATTTTTCTTGCAAAAGAAGTCAACATATATACAGATCTCAGTTGCAAATGAAAGCTTTTACTTGACTAAGTGCAAAAGAAAACAACTGCCAAAGAAAAAGTTAGGCTGGGCAAAGAAACAAATTCCTCCTACAAAAGCTCCGATTCTTATGAAATAATATAAAATAAATAAGAAAACAAAACAGAACACAAAAAAAAAAAAAAAAAAAAAAAAACAAAAAACCCCCCCCCCCCCCCATATGATTAATCAGTAATTATGGGCAGAAGAGCAGTGCTAATGTCAATGAGATGGCGCTTTAGCTCAGGACATTCCTCTGCAAGGAACTTTCAAAAGTCAAGGCAGTATTTTTAAAGCATCCAGAATTGCCTCATTCTCATTTTACGTCTGTAAATGAGATTGTGTTTTGGTGAGGACAGAGTATTATTCTAGGAACAGCAACAGGGATGACGTATTCACAAAAATGTCCAGCTCCTACTTCCAAGAATGGAAATTTAACTGTATATACAGGAGTCACATGTTAACTTAGGGTTAGGGGAAGTGACTGCCCCTTAGGCACAGCTGGCTGACAGCAGCCCCAAAGCCCAGCGACGGCGATGCCTGGGGCACGGCCCTCCTTCCTTCCAGCGGAATGTGCAATCCCGGCCGCTGCAGCCAAACGCACAGCAACAGAGGGCTCTGCTTTGGTCAGTCCTCAGGATGCCATCATAGGCAAGGCGACGCTGGAACGAAGGGGTGACATAAGATATGGTCGTCTTTGACCCACAGACTTAGGAGACATGGCACAACTACCCAGTATTTTCTCAAGTATCTTTGGGGATACTTGAAAGAGGCTGCTCCAGAAAGGAACGTAAATGTTTTTAATTCTCTCTGGCCTCAGTTCTATACCCTTTCTGAATATGTTTTTAACTGCAACAGTAAAGACGGCACTCTACTTACAAAAGGTAAGACACTCCTACCTACCAAAGGAGATACAATTAATAAAACAAGTCTGAAAAGGAGACCCTAAATCACTGCGAGATCAGCCTAAGCAGGAAAAGTTGACCAAAGTTGAGCAGTTGGCCACAGCATCTTAGGACCAAGGCCAGTGAAAAAAAATAGAGACCTTCAAAGATACGACAGGACTTGATAGTAAAGAAGAAAAAAAAAAAAAAAAAAAAAAAAGAGGGGGCAATTTAAAAACATAAAACAAGCGTTCTGGATCTCATCAATATGATTACAGCACTGCTGTGAGGTAGCCCCTCCTCCTGCTGAAGGTCCTTGAGCATGCCACCACAGACAATAAAACACTATCCCAACTGCACTGCTGGCAGTACGACTGTGCAGAAGTAGTGGCTTAGCAAATGCGTAACAGGAAAACCAAAAGCAACATCTGCAACAACAGTTCTTTCATCCATTTCTCATCACTATTCCTTGACCACCCATATCAAGTAATTAATATAGAAAACACAATCCCACAACTCCAATAAGCACTTTCTCAAGAAAACAAGATTTGCCCCAGAGGAAATTCACTTTATTTGACTTGCAGGTGTAGAATGATCCAATCAAGCCCCTTTTATTAAACAACGTCAACTACATTTGAAAGGATAGCACCAGCTTCAGAACAGACGATAAGTGATAAGTCAGTAATCTAGTAGCAGGCCTCAGTGCACCTGCCCATTTCTTTGTTGTCCAGCTTCAGATACAGATTTGATAGGAAGGAGAAAAGTCTGGGCTCCCCCCCCCCCCCCCCCCCCCCCCAGCAGTATACAGAGGGCCAGTTTCTGCATGTCACTGAAGAGGGTCTCCAGGTCACACAGCAAGGCCAAAACTGCATCTGTATCTTAGTGAAGCCTGAAAGACATGAACCCAGAGCCTGCCATTTGGTTACTGTCTACTCTAAAGCAGTGCCTGCAAGCCTCTTCCCCACCTTGCCTGATGCTAGCGAAAGCCTGGCAAGCTGTCACTCAGCTACCAACAGCGCCAGGCTTTGGAAGGGTGTGGAGGCTGGGGGAGGAAAGCCATTGCATGCTGAGCAAATCCAGAAGCCAACAAATTTTCAGTATGCCACTTGATGCTGACAAAGGAGTAGCCTTTCTTGCATTAGTTAGGGAGGACATCACCTGGAGGGAGAGTGTGTGTCTCTGATGTATGTATGCATGTAGTTTTAAGGGGTTAAAGTAGCACGTTAATCCTTGTTACTCCCAAGTTATCTGTGACCATTCGTACATTATGGAAGTTTTCATGTGATAAAACAGACTAGTACTCTGCAGGCTGTAAGAGAGACTCTTCTGTAAAACAATGAATAAGATCAACAGGCAGCACCTAAGCATATAAGAAAATTCATTCAAACCAGAGGTTTAAAAAAATAATCCAAAGTGATTTTCTACAGAACAAAATTAACTTGTGAAGCTCATTGATACAGGACGCTATAGAGGGCAATATATGAATCAAAAGGAAACCAAGTAAGCTCGTGGAAAATAGGTCCAGCATATCTATTAAGACAGAAGCAACCTTTGTCTCAGCAAGTAACTAAACAGCAAAATACCAGAACTAAGGACAACCACTGGTGAGAGATCACCTGTACGTCCATCCATTTCACGTGCTGCTTCCCGACGCTTGGGCAACCTCAAGACTGTGAGCATTACAAGAAACAGGACGTTAGGCAACTACGAGATTCTCGGGAAGCCTTCTGTCACTTGGCCTTGGGTCTCTCAAAATACAGAAGCAAAGTAGCTTAAAATTAATTCATTCAAGGTTATTCTATTCCCAGTTTCTGAGCAAAACCAAACATTTGCATATGAAACACAACAGCACATACTACGCTAAAAAGTGAGGAACAATTCAAGTTAATCTGTCCTGATTTCTGATTTTTACTGTTAGTTATTTCAACTTGTTCCATTTGCAGTGTCTTGTTAGGACAGAGCATTCAGCTTCCACTGATTAAAAACTGCTTTTAAAAATCAGTCCGAGCCCACTCAACATGAGACAAGGCAAAACAAAAATCAAGTAATGTTTCTGGTGCTGAAAGACAGTATTTTGTAGGAACAAAACATGTAGCATCACATGTCAACACCTTTACCATCAAGTTGTTTTTTTTTTTTTTAATCCATCACCTACAGTCTTTCTTACTTAACAGACTACTGCAACATATACACCTCTGCAAATATTAAACTAGCACTGCCATCACTATATTTGTTGTTGTTTTTAAGCAAAGAAAAAGCCACGTTTATTTTGTAGTAGCAATAGTTTCTTTTTTATTTTTAATATACTTTAGGAAACAATATACAAAGCCGAGCTTTGCCACCATTTTCAAACGGTGGGTTGCTCCAATTACACAAATTCAGCGTTTTGTGATGGTTAAGAACAGCAGTCAGCACCAGACTTAAACAGTTAGCTACAACACAAACATCCTTCGAAATGAAATGTCATAATATCAAGACAGGTAAACCAGGAGTTAACATATGACAGCTGTTGGGGAGATGTCTTAAATCATTCTTGTTGAATTTTATATTTCATTAAATATTTTATACACATTTTCCTGTTTACAAGTTTTAAACAAAACCTCCCTTGAGGAATTATTTAAGTACAAAAATGTTCAACAAGAACAGTTCTAATAAAGAGTCCCCAAACAGACCAAATTTTCATGTGTTGACCAAAGGAAATGAAAACCAGTGTTTCTTTGTTTTAACATGTTTATTACAACAGATACAATTCACATCTGACTAGCTTTTTTTTTTTTCCTCTTTCCCCTCCCACAACCATGTTAACATGTTCATTGGGCTATTTCCTTATATTTGAGCAAGTAATGTACTTTCAGCACACATGCCCAGCAGTACTATAAGTCCATTCTTACAGGGTGCAAATGGAAATACGTTTCAATAATTTATACAAACAAGTGGGTTATGCTCAATCACTGCAATTTTAAGCTACTGTACACAGGAATGAAAAGATTATAGAAAAAGTGCCATAGCAACAGTGCCTTAAGAAAAGAGAAAATTAGAAGCATTAAAAAACTGATAAAATCAGATTTAGGATTTCACAGGGAAATGGAACACAGAAAATGAAAAACATTTCTCTGTAAAACAGAAATGGAGAAGCACTGCTCTCGATTCGGTGCAAGTGTGGAAACAGTTGTTTCATAATCTTTTGTACATTACCCAAATTGTTGCAGCCTTAGACACAGATCGCCTGGCGCTTGCATTGAATTTTAGGAAATGCAAGATTTCTGAACGATAAATTAACTAAAAAAAAAAAAAAAAAAAAAAAAAAAGCTAATTTTGCAGACAGGTTTACATGTAAAAGGCTAGGTATTTAGCCACCTCAGCATTGATTAGTTTTGGATGTCTAAGCTCTGATACACATGGCTTCCCATGGCTTCACTCTACAAAACATATTTACAACGTGAAGAATACATCTACAAGAAATCTACATTTCAAGGGTTTTACAAATCATTCTTGTATCTTTCCCCTGAATTTGACTCCCTCCTGTCCCCTTCCCCATGTCAACTTTTTTTCTGCCCAGCTCAACGGTCCAAAGTCTACTCAAATGCAGCTCAAAAGTGTTAAGACTGGGCATCAGTTTAATAGTTCCTGTACTCAAAACCATGTGCAATTGTTTACAACTTTTCACACCATGAAGGAATTCTGATTCTTTAGCTTTTCAAGTTCTTTAATTTGTTGCCTCAAAAATAGTATCCTGCAAGAGAAAAGAAATAAATTAGTATAAACATTTCCATTATACAGAGATATTAATTATCTACACAAGAACTTTTACCATTTCAGTGAAAGATACCAAGCTCCTTAGCTCTATTAATAAAACTGATATATTTTTAAATTAATTCCCAGTCTGTTCACCAACCTACAAACACTGTATGCAGATGTACAGAGACCTGCCATGTTTGATACCTTAGTTCAGAAAACTAAGTCACTGTTTTGCATTATGACTGATACACAGTTATGTTTAAGCCTGCTCTTCACTTGAATTTAACTCCCAGAAAAAGCGGGACACTGAAAGAGTACGCTGAGTAACTCAATATTCTGAAGAATGGTATTAAGCCTGTGTCATGCAGTTTTCCAGACTCTACAATAACCCAAAGCACTGATTTTTTTTTTTAAACAAGCAAGTTTTCTTCTAGGTGCAACACTTTTTTTCCAGTATTTGGCTCTGTGGCTAGTAGTAGTCTCCAGTTATGGTAAGCTCCAATCTCAAAATATTTGATCATTAAAAGACATCTAAGGAAAAAAAGCTGTAACTATACCTGGCTTAGAAATAAATTATATTGCTAGCGATTCCCTTATATATTTTTCCTGCTTCTACCAAACTGACATAAACAATTATCATGATTAATGAACATTTGTTTTACATAACTGTTTCCCAGAATTTTTAATGAATATTTTGAAACAACTTTTCACGATGCTGAAGTGTAATGCAAGCATGTGAATGAATTAAGAAAATATTCAGGGAAAGTTGAAGTTTCATATAAATATTCCATAAAGTCTGAAGCAACTTTAATTGATGCAGAAAAAACATCCACTTCAGCAGACTTTTGTAAACACCTTTCAAATATGTGCCCAGTTCAGTAAAAATGAATTTTCTACTGAAAAGTAGGTGAAAAACAATTAAGATAGACACACTGAAAAAAAATTAAACAAATTTAAAGAGTTCTCTTCTGTGCAGAAGTATAGAAATAATATCATCACTCAAATGTATTAGCTTTGATAATCCCATCCTTTGAGAAAGCCTCCCCCCACCAACTTGTTACTTATGCCACGTATTCCACGTCTTTGGGATTGCAGCAAAAATAAAAGATACATGTTATCACAGCTTCAAAGTCATAATAATCATTATCCATTGACAGCTTAAGGATATACAGTGTACAAGAAACAAGGTGCTATTTAGTGAGCTGAATAATGACATTTGACATGTTACTTCAGATCACCCAGTGCACCCAGACAGAAATGAAACCTTAGGAAGTGAAACCTGTAAGAAACCAAGCAATTCATTAAATATACTACAGAAATTGTAATTTATGTAATGAAGTTATGAAATAAAATTTCAGAAAGAATGGATACTTCCAATTTGGAAAGATTTACAAATATATTATAGCCTACTTCTGACTAAAGGTTGTTTTACTAACTGCCAAAAAGCAAGAGCTTCTAGGATAAAGCTAGCTATTTGAACAGCATGCAACGCTATTAAAGCGGCTTAAAATAGTAAATCAGAATCACTGTATTCAAACTGTAGTGTGACGTAATACATGGGATAATATAATTCAAAAAGGAAATGGAATATCAAAGTAGATTCAGGATCATGACTACTGGTGAAAAGTTTCAGCACGTATTGTAAGACTAAACTTTTCAATCTTGCACAACAGTCTTCAACAACGTGGCTGTGTATTGCTTCAGTGATACCAGACGCACTATTACTGACTTAAGAAGCAGAAGTCTACTTTACTGAGAATCAACATCTCACTAAAGAACCCCAAGATCTTCTCAGATGGGTCCTACCTAAGTAACAAACACTAATTTTCCCTTAGCTTGTGATATCAACAACACCTCTTCAAACTTTCTCTGGCTTTAGACCTAACAAACGTCTCATGCAAATGGTAGTGTTTAACATCAGTATAAACCGTGCAGGTGTGTACCTATGCAATCTATGCATCACATATGGAAAGATATTTTAGAAGTATGCTGAGCTAGTGCAAGTTAACCAGTTTTTCCTAATGCGCTAATGTATCTGGAAAGATACTTCTTTTCTATCTACGTGAAAATACATACAGAAGTTGCATATCTGGTTCTACTCATTGGAGACTAAGAGGTATCTGTGTGGGAAACAGGTAGAATGTACACAGGGAAGACAGCTTGCAAACCTGGCGAGTATTAGCATACTTACAAAGTCATCAGTAAATACAGCTCATGCAAAACAATGTCAGAATGGGAATTCTAATACTACCTTGAAAATTACTATTTTGAAAATGAACACAGAGCATACACTTACCTTTGCTCACGCAAAGTTGCTTGAATTTCACATACTCGAACTAAAGACCTTAAATTCTTTAATTCAGTACAAATTTCTGACATATGGACACTTCCCATGTTATGGGCTTCCTCACGTAATCTTGATGCCTGCAACGGTTACACATAAAGGTTAGGATTTTGAATCATGCATTGGAAACAACGGGCTGTAGCCAGAGGATTGCTGGAAGAGTGTGTCTTGAAACAGCAAAGCACTCTAACTTCAAAAGGGAACATTAAATCAGAAGTATATTAAATTCTCTACAAAAGTCCATTTAGAATCAGAAATGAACAACACTGACTGCCAAGAGTGTCGAACCCAGGCCCATGCTAACGCAGGGATGGTTTAGATTTCCTTGATCCTAACAAATGTTTACTCAACCACCTTGAAAGATAGTACATGACATGGCTCCAAGTTTCCAAAGTAATTTGTTGAAGTAGTTAAAAGTTTCTGTCCACTATTTCAATGGCAGACTTAAATTTCCCATCTAAATTAAGCCTTAGTGACAAAAATAATCGAATGCCATCTTCTTTCCAGCTCCCTTATACAGGAAAAAAGCGCACTGAAAAAAAACCTGTTTCAAATAGATCCTTCCCTGCAGTATTACTGTTTAGCAATGTTATTCTCTGCTGTCCTGCGTCTGACTGGGATGAAGTTAATTTTCTTCATAGCAGCCCATATGGTGCTATGTTTCAGATCTGTGACCAAAACAGTGTTGATAACACACCAATGTTTTAGCTATTGCTGAGCAGTGCTTACACAACATTAAGGGTTTCTCCCTTTCTCTCTCTGACCCCCCCAGCAAATAGGTCGTGGGTGGACAAAATGCAGGGAGACAATGCAGCTGGGACAGCTGATCCAAACTGACCACAGGACTACTCCATACCATATCATGTCATGCTTCACAGTAAAACTGGGGGGCAGCTTTCCAGGCATTGCCATTGCTCAGGGACTGGCTGGGCATCGGTCGGCTGGTGGCAATTGACTGCTTTTGCATCACTCCCTGCCCACTCCCACTTTTACTTATTAAGCTGTCTTTATCTCAACCCACGAGTTTTCTCACTTTTGCCCTTCCCATTCTCTCCCCCATCCTATTGGGGGAGAGTGAGCAAGCAGCTGTGTGGTGCTTAGCTGCCTACTGGGGTTAACCC